TCTGGAGTCCAACAACCAATGCAGTCCTTCTTCCCAACAGAAACCTCCCAAACCCGGTCTTTACCGGCAGGATTTCTATGAGCTTCCTGATCTTCTGAGCTCTGACCAGAATCTCCCAAACAGAACAGCCGAAGCCATTCAAGCTCTGTTCTTTCAGGCGATGTCTCTGAACCTTTCCAAACTCTTCCCACAAGCCATTTCCCAAGGCTCTTGAACCACATGGTCAGGTATAGTCACAGCAACAACCCCACTCTTGGTACCAAATTCTGTCTCGGTTACTTTTCTCTTGTTGCTGGGACAAAATACCTGACGCCCAAAATTAAGGAAGGAAAGGTTTATTTCGCTTACAGTTTGTGGAGGTTTCAGTCCGTACTTGGCAGATTATAAGGCAGAGTGCACATGGCAGAGGGCTACAGCTCCTGGCACAGAACACAGCAAAGCAACAAGCACACACCAGGGAGGAATCGGGGAGGAATGGCCTCAAGCACCCTTTTCCTCTCCCTTACATATGCAAACTATCCACACCAGGGCGGGTGTAGCTCGCACACTCACAATCAATCAACTCTAAAAGCCTGCCCCATGGCCGCATGAGGCTTTGGGAGGACACACAGACAAACCATAATACCTTACAAGAAGTGCTAAAGGTAATACTTCAATTTGAAATAAAAGCACACAAGATGGCAACATGAAAGTATGTGGAAGTATAAACTTGCTGGTAAACATTAAATATTTTGGGTTTTTTGTTTGTTTTTATTAAGTTTATTGGTACATTTTAGGTGTACATAGTGATCACATTCAACATTAAATATTTTGGCAAACAATATTATAATAACATAATACTGTAATGATTATGCATGAATCACCTTTCATTCTGGTAAAGTTAAAAGGCAAAAGTATAAAAATAACTATGCAAAGATTAGCTAGTGGATACATAATATAAAAAGTATAACTTGCAACATTAATAGCAAAATGTGTGGAAGAGTACAATTTTTGAAAGTGACTGAAGTTTTAACTTAAAAATAGATTATGACATTTTATATAAATGCATGAAGGCAAGGAAAATAGTCAAAACAATTTAGAGGAAAAAGAATAAAGCTAAAGGTATCAGATTTCCTGTCCTCAAAACATATTACAAAACTAAAGTAATCAAAACAGTATGTTAATGGCATAAAGACAAATACAGACCAAAAGAACAGAATGCAGAGCACAAAGAAAGCCACAGGTTTATAATTAAATGATCTTCAACAATGGTGCCAAGATTATGCAATGAGGAAGGGACAGTCTTTAGTAAAAGATGTTGAGAAATCTGAATATCTACATGCAGAAGAATGAAATTGGTCCCTTATCTTACACATACACAAAAATCAACTTAAAATGGATTAAGGACTTAAACATATACCTAAAACTGTAAAGCACCTAGAAGGAAACACAAACAAAATCTTTACAACATTGGTCTTAACTATGATTCCTTGGAGATGACTCCAAGAGAAAAAAGAAAATATTGAAAAATGGGATTACATCAAATTAAAATTTTTTGTTTTAAAGCAAACTATTATCAGAGCGGCAAAAGCAAAGTTTGGAATCAGGGAAAAAATACAAACCATATATGGCCAAAGGCCCTGAGTGGACATTTCTCCAAACAATATATATAAGTGGCCAACAGATACATGGAAAGATCTTCAACATTACTAGTTACTAGGGAAATAATACAACTATATACAAAATTACAATATTACCTCATACTTGTAAGAATGGCCATTATAAAAGAAGAACATTACAAGTATTGGCAAAGATTTATAGGAACTGTGTCCCTGTGTACTATTAGAAGGTAAAATGGTATAGCCACTGTTATGGTTTGTGTCCTCCCAAGCCTCACGCAGGCATGGGGTAGGCTTCTAGAGTTTGTGATTGATTCATGGTCCAATGCTGGGATTATGGGTGTGAGTGTCACACCAGTCCTGAGGCAGGTAGCCCGCATACAACACAAAGGAAGGAAAGAGGCTTGCTCTCTTCTTCCCCTTTTGCTTTTGCTGTTTTCCATCACCATGAACTGTTGCCCTCTGCCATGCCACGCTGCCTTGGAGCCAGCTGATTATGGACTGAACCCTCCACAAACTGAGCTAAGTAAACCTTTCATTCCCTAATTTTGGGTGTCAGGTATTTTGTCTCAGCAACAAGAGAAAAGTAACAAGACAGCCACTACGGAAAACAATACAGAAGTTCCTCAAAAAATTAAAAATAGAATTACCACTTCTGGGTATTTACCAAAAGAACTGAAAACAGGATCTGTAAGAGAGATTTGCATACCCGTATTTATTGCTTTCACAACAGACAAGAGTTGGAAACAACCTAAATGCTCATTGAAGGATAAATTTTGATTTTTGAAATGTGATATGTATATAGTGTTCAGCCTCATAAAGAAAGGAAATCCTATCACATGTTACAAATTGGATGAGTCTTGAGGATATTGTGTAAGAGAAATAAGAGTCATGAAAGGACAAAGGCTGCATGTTCCGCTTACGTGAAGTATTTGAAGTAATCACATTCATAGAAGCAGAACATGGAAGGATGGTTGCTAAGGACGCAGGGGCAGGGGACAGGAGTCGTTACTCTGTTTAATGCGTGCAGAGTCTCGGCCATGCACGATGGAAAATTTCCAGAACTGTACTGCATAATAACACACACATAGCTAACAATTCTGGACTGCGCATCTAAACATTTATAAAGAGGGCAGATTTAATGTAAAGTGCCTTGGGGCTGGGGATTTAGCTCAGCGGCAAAGTGCCTGCCTGGCAAGCACAAGGTCAGGAGTTCGATTCCTGGTACCGAAAGAAAAACAAAACAAAACAAAAAAAAATAATGTTAAGTGCCTTTAACATACACACACACACACACACACACACACACACACACACACATTCTGTTCACAAAGAGGTGCCACTCACTGAGCTTTGTAGAAAACAACCCAGTGTTCATGCCAAAGAGCAAGCCCTGCAGTCCAGCCTTACAAAGTGGCAGTGAGACACAACAAAACAAGGCAAAGCAAAACAAAACACTAACCCAGTCACTCCCATTGTCTTATTATGCACTTTTTTAAAAAAAAACTATACTTTTGTTACAAAAGAGCAAAACGTTGTTTCTCAACAAGTCAATTAAGTGGTTTTTTTTAAAAAAAAATAGCTCCCTGAGTCACCCTGCTGATCACTAGCTTCGAGGGCCACTGCGGACTGAAAGCAGGGGAAGCGCAAGATGCAGGAAGCCATAGGTTCAGTGTGTGGAGGGAAAACACCGTAGCTGAACTTACCAGTCTCCGGCCAAGGCCTGCCTTTGCTGTGGCGCTGGGAGTCTGCACACAGAGTGTGGAACTTGGAACACACCCGGAACCTGGCATTGTAGCGCCCTTCGTTGTACAGACGACCCCCACCTTCTGACCAGGCAGCCTGCATCCATAAAGCCAGGCTGTCCCAGGGGACGGCTGGCCACATCTGCCAAGAGAAGGAAAGAGGGCCAGCCACATCCTGCACACTAAGAATCTCAATTACATTGGCACACAGTGGGCTCCTCTCCAGGGCGGGCTCGTCTTAAAAGACGTGTGCACCCGGCAGGCAATTGATTCATTTACTAATGAAAACTACAGCTGCCATGTTGTCAGTTCGTGGCCTCCTTTCGCTAAATGTGAGTGGCCTGGGAAGCCAAATCTGGAGGTGGTTTAATAAGAAATTAGCACAAGTAAAAGTCACCAGATGGTCTTCAGGGAGTCACACCGCACGGGGCGGTCATGCTCCAGTCTGAGAGGCAGGCACCTCTCTGGGCCCAGACAGGGCGTGAGTGGGCACGGCCAGCTCCCACCGTGTGGGCTCCAGAGTCAGCCGCTGGATGCCCCGTTCCACACTGGTAGGACTCTGGCAAAGCATCCCAGCCCCCGAACACTCAGTTTCCTCCCATGTACAGTGGAAATAATAATAGTGTCCACATCAAGGGATCACCATGAGGGTTAAACGGAAGAAGTGACTGTGGATCTAGGCACATAGCGAACTTTCATGCTTGGTAGCCGTCATCAGCAGTACTACGGCTGGGACTGTTACTAACTCTTCTCTGTTTTAAGCCTCATTCCTCAGCACAGTCCCTCTTTGTGTGTATCAACTACCTAGGACTGATTGAATTTCCATTCACTAAAGTGAAAAGTTATTCTAGTCCTGCCTTTGAAATTCAGCAGCCATACGCTTGGTAAAGGTGGGTAAAATTCCTGGACTCCAGGGCCCTTCACTGGGAGTGGAGTGGAGTGGAGTGACTTCACGGCCCGCACACATCCCCATCCCAGCTTCTGCAGGCCTGGGTTCTCATGCCTGTTCCTCATCCCTACTTCTGGACAGTTTCTTCCTGCCGGGACTCAGAGGCAGCTGCAGGGTGGGGCGGGGTTCAAAGTCAGGGCTATAGCACATCTCTCTGCAGGAATGCGTGTGCTGCGTGTAATGCGTCTGGCAGATGTGACTTCCAGGCTGTCTGGGATGGGGATTATGAGCCCACATGGGCCTTTCGCTTGAGCAAGACAACAAAACAAAGCAAGAAACACACGTCTGCTCTTGCATGAGTGCCCAGACCCCTCTGCTCAGCCGAGGCAGGCTTGCCTGGGAGGGGTATCCATCCCGCCTTGTGTTTGGGGCTGAGGTCAGAAGGTAGGGTTCCAAGGAGCCAGACTTCCCTCCTACCATCTCTCCAGCACCAGAAGCTTTTCACTGCCTCCCAAATACATCAACCCAGCCCCACCTAACAGCTTTTGCACACACTGTCTCTCAGCCAGAACGGCCTGCCCTGCTTCCCTCCACTTGCTAAGTCCCACCCTTCTTTCCAGGCCCCACTGAAGCCCCCCACTTTCTGAGCCTCTGGATTCCTCATCAAAATGATGACAGCATGGCCCGCTTTCCTGACTAGATTCAGAGGCAGATCCAGGGTCTTTTGTTGCTGTTCCAACCACTTTTGCTTACTCTGAAATGCCAGCAGGGGTTACAGCCAAGTTACTGGACACATTGGATTAAGCATTTGGGGGTGGCAAAAGAACTTTCTCCTTTGTTTTGTTTTTTGGCTTTTTTATTGTGAAATTTAATGCACATTCAGAAAAGTGCATGGAATGTAAATGTAAAGAATTATTACGAGGTAAAAATATCCTCTAACCACTACCCAGGTCAAGAACAGGAATATTGCCAGCAACCCCAAGCCCTGCCCGCTCCCTGTGTCCTTGTCGGAGATGATGCAAACCTGGTGATTTTGTATTTGTGGGTGCAGAAGAATCCTTGGAAGTGCAATTTCTCTTTCTTTGGGCTCTAACCTATGCGAGGCTGTAAGCATTCAGGGGAAGTATGGGATCCCCCCACCATGGGAGGTAGGAGGAGGCAGGAGAGCTTGGTAGGCAAAATGTATTTGCCGGCCCAGCCAGGAGCCCTACCCAGACCCTGAAGCAAATGCGCTTCACTCCAGCTGGGTTTAGAAGACTCTGAGGTCAGCCCGATAGGGGGTGGGCTCTCTACGCCTGCCCAAAAAGGAAGCAGCCCTAGACTGGGGCCTCCAGACGCTTCAGGATTGCAGCATGAGGAAGGCAAGGGGCTCTCCAGAGCTCGGAGCCCAGGACAACCTGTACAGTCCAGGAAGTAGGTGAAGAAATCTAGGAAATCCTTCTGGGGATTTCAAGCACATTATTAAGTGTGTGGGAAGGGTGCATCCCTCTTTTTGTCTTTCAATAAATACTTGTTGAACAGTATGTGAGGTACCGGGCAGGCATGAGGGACAGGCAGTGGAGAACAAGGCAGATACCAGCCTAGGAATGAAGGGATCCAACCCCAAACCCCCCAACCCAAGCTCATCGTGTCTCTTTCAGCAAGTATTACCCTGCAGACAATTAAATCTTTCGGTGAGTGGTCTGAGATGTCCCGTCAGTGACAAACACCAGTGAGGGAACAGGGGTAAAGATGAGTGAAAGGGTATATGGCTACACAGGAGAACTCAGACAAGAAAACAAGGTTTCAGGCAGACCCAAAATAGCACCTTAATTTGCAGGAGAGTCACCTGGGAAGGTAGACCATTGGTAGTATTCATTAAGAAGAATGTATTCAAATAGGAAAAAATGACTTGAGTCTTTATGAGGCCATTGCAATGTCTTGGTGTTTCTAGAGAGAATGCCGGTTTAGACAGATGGAAAGGTACCTGCTGCTCTCGCAGTGGTGTGGGCTATGGGGCAGGGAAGAAAGGAGAGAGGTGAGGCAGACTTCAGCTGAACAGTGGGGTCCTATACATGAGGGGTCCATCAGGGAGGGAGGAATAAAGACTGGCTTTGCAGGTGGACACGTCCATAAGCAGAGGGAGAGCGAGGCCACACAGATGAGGAGACTGCTACGGGCAAAGGCGCAGTGGTGGGAAGGTAGAGGGGGCCACTGGGTTTAGCAGCGACAGAAAGGCCTTCCGGGGGTGGGCTGAGTCTAGAAAGACATTGGGGTTCAGTTTGACTGGGAACTTGGGGCAGGGTCTAACTGAGATTTGGGGCATGAGGCAAAAAGCCCCACTTTGGAGCAGGGCTGTAATTTGACCAAACCCTGGTTCAGGAAGACTAGCCTGGCAGTGCCAGATGCAAGAGAAGCCAACTATAAACCAGATGGAGACCACGGGGATAGAGCCTGGGACAAGAGACGTGGTGTTGGGAATGAAGGAAGGAGCTTTGGCACAGGGCTGAAAAGGTTGATGACTAGGGGTCTGGTGCTCGCAGGGCAGAGCCCATAGGCTCCAGGTGAGCGTGGGGCAGGCAGGAACTAGGCGTTTTGCTTTTGGGGGAGCAAGCTGAGGATAGAGATAGAGATAGAAATAGAAATAGAGATACAGATAGAGATAGAGATAGAGACAGAGATAGAGATAGAGACAGAGATAGAGACAGAGACAGAGACAGACAGAGGGAGAGAGAGAGAGAGACAGAGAGACAGAGAGAGAGAGTTCATTTGACTGGGAAGTAAAAGAAGACACCTAGAGGAAAATCAGAAATGCCTGGAAAGCTTTTACCTTTGTAAATGTAGTCCAAGAACTCCACCCCAGGGCAAAGCAGGATTTGGTCCCAGCCGGAGAAGGCTAATGCCTGCAGGAAGCATTCAGGTAAAGAGAAAGCCGTATAGGCAGGAACGTATTTCTGCCAAAATAATTTACATTAAGAATTTACAATTTAACTTCTTTGTAAAACATCTGCTGGCAGATTACTTCAAAGCTGCAGGGTTCTCCCCAGAAGCAATTTGCTTCAAATTTGCATAGCTTAAAGTTTCTTGGGCAGCTTTCCCCAAAAGAAAAGCCAGTCATTTCCATCTCTGTCTCAAATGGCAAACAATGCCAAGGCCCAGACCTCTGCCACCCTAGACAGTGTGGACTTCGGGTCATAAGACCTGATTTTTTTTTAGAGAAGCTGGAAATTCCATTTTAAAAATAAAACATATCTATTGTTTTGTCTGTGTTAAAATATACATAAACTTTGCCATTTGATCCGTTTTTAAGTGTACAGTTCTGTAGCACAAAGTACATTTGAAATAAAATGGATTGGAAAATCCAGAATTCACAGTAGGTAGTAAAATTAAGTATTGCTTTGTCAAACTTTTACTTGTTATATGTACCTGTATACACACATATGTTACATATTCTGGTTCATAATGAAAAATGTATTTACTACTGAGCTCGGCAGTACAAAGTAACTGAAACACACATTATCTGAATCCACCCTCCTTAGGAAGTAGTTATGCAACTAGCTATTGTTATGTAAGCATAACATACCTTGGAAGACGTCATGATCCACCTCAATCCTCTTACCAAAGCACTCATCCCCCAAATGAGGCCCCTTCTAAGGTGGGGGAGGGGTATGAAGGCGTGGTCTAGATTTTGCCGAGTGTTGTATATGGGGTTTATATGCCCACCAACGATTAGTAGCGGCTGTGCTGGCAGATTGGAGACATCACAGGATGGTAACTACTCCAGGGCAGGGCTCCGTCTTCATGAGGTGAGGAAGCAGGCTGCCCCCCCATAAGAGCTGTCCCATTGCCATGGACACTGTGTTGGGCCACAGCCTGGTGTCAGGGGAGGTGCACTGTACTTGGGTCAGAGGTTGGGAACCCAGGCCTGATGTCCCTCACAGGTAGGGTGATCTGGACAAAGATCCACAGTCTGCCCAAGTCCTGGGTTAGGTGCTGTGGGGGTGTTGGCTGGAGGTATGTATGCGATGGATATGCAGAGGTAAGGGCCTTTTGGAGTCACCCAAAATCGCCTGGAATGTACTGTTAGAAATTCAAAGATGGTCTACAGGCCACAGATCCAAGCAGAATTTAAATACATTGCCTCAAGGAATGAATGCTCTGGCCTTTATCTTCCCCATACTCTGACTTATCACTTAGACTGGCCCTAAAGTCAGTCACGTAACAGGCCACACTGCCCTTCCCCTGCCCTTCCCCTCTCCTTTCCCTTCCTCCTACATGCATTCACGCATAGATATCCTTCCTTTTTCCTTTATTCTTGCTTCCTGGTTCTATCAATAAAAAGCCGGAGAAGCTTCAGTTCAGGGCTGTCCTTATGAGATGCACTGAGAGGTCTCGGTAAAGGCAGTCCCTCTGGGCCTTCTTGGAGTTTGAACTGGACATGGTCTCAGTAATCTTTCACCCTTTGCACCATGCCACAGTTGTGAACTGCAACATGATAAGGGCACAGACTCACATTTGTAAAAGGAAGGAGTTGACGAGGAGTCCAGCCACCCTCATGTTAGAACTATGAAGGCATAAAGTTTTTGAGGCTCATCCACAATGAAGCACATATCTGTACTGTATTTCTTTTTATGGTTGAACATCTTAAATCCCAAGTATATTGGTATTAAGAGATTGGGCCTTTGGATTTGGGAGGATGGAGGACTCATGAATGGGATTAGTGATCTTATAAAAGGGCTTACAGGGTTCGTCTCTTCTCTCTCTCTCTCTCTCCCCCATTCTCTCTCCTCTCCCCCACCCCTTCCCTCTCTCCATATGAGGACCCAGGGTTCATTCCTTTTCCCATAGAGGACTCAGCAACAAGGTACCATCTTGGAAACAGTGAGCCCCTAACCAGACACCAGGTTTGACTGTGCCTTGATCTTGGCCTCTAGAACAATGAGAAATACATTTTTATTATGTTTCAAATTAATAGTTGCCATAGTTTGTCAGCTTCTAACCTGTGCTTGATACTATATTTGGTACTTGTACTATTTTACCTAGGATGTCATACCTGTTGTAATCAGTTGTTCTCCCTTCTATAACAACACTGTGATTGTCTGGGGTCATAAACATCATATTAGTCCAATACCATAAAACTGGGTGCTGAGCCAAATAGAGAGCAATATCTCATCCTTAATAAGTTGGCAAGGTAGGATCTTGGGACAGACACAAAAAGAAGAACCTCCTACACCTAGAAGACATCTCTGAAGACTAGACATTTTCTAGGGAGGCCTCTGTACTAGTGATATAAAGCTGTCTACTATAAGAAGTTTATAAGAGTCAACACAGAAAACAAAATAAAATTTAAAAATAGACAATGACAAGGCATAGAAGCAAAATCCAACCCTAGACCTCCAGCCCACCCACGACAAGTCCAGGGGATAACAAAGTAAAGGAAAATGGAAGCCACCCATCTGAAATTTCTGAAATGATAGCAACAGAAGTTCAAAAACAGATATGTGAAACTATAGAGGAAATCAGAAATAACCTCTCAGGTTAAAAAAAAAAAGAGAGAGAGAGAGATTAGAACCATAATGAAGGACTTACTCAGCAAATCTAGTGTAGATATAGATTTAAAAAAAAAACAAAAACACATCAGAGGAGCATAAGAAAATGATGGAAACCACAAATGCCCAACATAGGAAAGAAATGGAATCCATAAAACAGATTCAAACAGATACCCAGGAAATTAAAAATTTCATTGAAAATTTATAAAATTACATGAACAAAAATGACAGAATATCAGACCTAGAAGACAGGATCTTGGTGAGCAATCACAAAAAGAAAGGTCTCCTTTTTTTTGTCTTTTTGACAAGATCAGGCACATTCAGGGTGTTAGGGCCATAGACATTTTTTTGTCTTTTTGAGACAGGGTCTCACTATGCAGTTCAGGCTGGCCTTGAACTCACTAAGTAGCACAGGCTGACCTCGAATTCACAGCAATCCTCCTGCCTCAGCCTCCCAAGTGCTGGGATTACAGGTGTGTGCCCCCATGCCCAACTAAGATCTATTAAAAATAGCAAGGGAACAATGAAAAAACAATCCAACAGCTGCAAGATGATGCAGAAGGAACAACATAAGATTGATTGGAGACAATGAAAAAGCAGGAGTCAGCACAAATGACATAAAAAACCTGACACAGAAGTAATGGCAGAAAAATTTCCAAGCATGGAAAAAGAATTTGAGGCACAGTTAAGTGAGACATATGGAACTCCAATTAGTTATGACCAAAAAAAACCTACACCAAGGCATATAGTAATCAAGATTCCAGATATTCAGCAGAAAAACAGAAGATTAAAAGCTGTTAGAAAAGAGAAAAAAATCACCAACAAAGGAAAGCCCATCAGAATCACAACAGACTTCTCAATACCCTTAAGTCAAGGAGAGCTTGGAGTGATGTATTCTAAGTACCCTGAAAAATTATCTTTCTGAATTAGTGGAGAAATAAGATACTTCCATGATAAAGAACAACTGAAGAAATTCATGACCACCAAACCAGCTCTACAAAGTGTTCCCAAAGATATTCCAGAAAGAGAAAACAGTGTGCACAATTCCACACCAACAGAAAGAAGCCACCAGGCGGGGCAAGCAATTAAACAGGGGAAAGACAAGGAACTAACAGCAAAAAATAATGTGACAAGGATAAGCCAACACATATCAGTTATAGCCATCAATGTCAATGGTTTCAATTCACCAATCAAAAGAAACAGACTGGCAGAGTGGATCAAGAAACAAGATCCAACAATATGCTGTATACAAGAAATTCACATGTAACTAAAAAAAAATTTTTTTTAATGATTTAGAAATGTAGTTCTGTGCTCCCTGAATTCGATTCCCAGTTTGGGGTAAGGGGGAGATGACTTCTACTAAGTCCTAGTTTGCATTGTTTCTAATGAGAAGTCTGCAATTATTCCCATCTTTTCCCCCACTGTATGTATTTTTCCTGTTTCTGTTTTTAATTTTTCTGCATTTATTACTGTTTTAGGTATTGTAATTAAGAAGTGCTTATTTGATGTGTTTATTTGTATTTTTCCTGCTTTCAGTACTTTAAATTTACAATTTCATTAAATATCACATGGTTTTAGCCATTGGCTCTTCAAAGAATTACCCCTAGGCCTTTCCTAGGACTCCAATTATGTGTGTGGACTAAATCATTTAATATTGTCTTACAGGTCATTGGGGCTCTGTGTTTCTGTGTGTGCATGTGTGTGTATGTTTCTCTCTGTGGGGGCATTAGCTTAGATGGTTCCTATTGCTATGTCTTCAATGTCACAGACATCTTCTACAATGTCCAAAATGCTCTTAAACCAACCAGTAAATTATTCACTTCAGGTGTTGTATTTTTCAGCTCTACAAGTTCCATTTGCTTCTTTTTAAATATCTTTGACTCTCCTCATTATGTTTATGTTTATTCACTTCAGGTGTTGTATTTTTCAGCTCTACAAGTTCCATTTGCTTCTTTTTAAATATCTTTGACTCTCCTCATTATGTTTATGTTTTCTCTTTAAATCCTTGTGCACATTTTAAATTCCTTTTAAAGCTCTTCTCTGCTAATTTTATTTATTTATTTGGTTTTGGTTTTCTTCCGGTACCAGGAATCAAACTTATGACCTCGCGCTTGCCAGGCAGGCGCTGTGCCACCGAGCTAAATCCCCAGCCCCCTTTTTTTGCCTTTTTTGAGACAGGGTGTTGCTATGCATTTCAGGCTGGCCTTGAGTTCACTTTGTAGCCCAGGCTGGTTTCAAACTCATAACAACTCTCCTGCCTCAGCCTCGAGTGCTGGGATTACAGGCATGTGCCACCACGCCTGGCCTTGTCTACTAATTTTATTATCTTTGTTGTATCTGTTTGTTTCTATGAACTATGTTTTCTTCTGATTTGAGGTTACATTTTCCTACTTATTTGCACGTCA